CTGTTGTGTTCAGAGTTTAAGAACTATTACTTAAGTTTAAGTCTTTCTGTCTTGACTCCAAGTTAACCTTGCAAAGTCTGAGCATTTTCAGCTGACTACTTTTTTTGTAACACTCGTATAAGGAGTGAAATTTTGTTTGCATCGCTCTGCTTGCCTCCCTTGTTGGTTTTCTGGGGCAGTTTGCACACACACAGTGATGCATTACTGCTGCCATCATCAACCGTGGCTGCTCCTAGAGGAAGCATGGTCTTCCTTTCCGCACCTGGAAAACTGCGATAACGGTGCTGGTCCCCTCTCCGCTTAGTGTGAGCAATATGGGCAGAAAGTGATGGTGGGAATGGTGGGTAGACCTGTTGTCTGCCTTATWTGTGGGCCCTTGGGCTTGACCCTGCAGCTGCAGGAGCTCCAAAGAGACACCAGTGCACCGGGAACTGCAGCCCGGTGAGCCCGCGAGGGGGCGAGTGGAAACCGAGCGTCCGACMCAGCAGTTTGCGCTCGGGCTGCTCAGGAGAACCGGGATTCCGCTAACCGGGACAAGAGGCGGCGTGAGGGGAATGGCGAGGACGTTGCTCGTGGGCGAGGACGGGCCCACACCGCGCTTGCCGGGGTCCCGCAGAGCACCGCTGTGCGGCATGTGGAGGGGACACTGAGATCCAGCCATCTGAGTTCACCCCTTCTGAGTCATTTGTTAAGTATTACGTAACTCTAAATCTTAAGATGTAAAATACATATTTTCAAGCATTTTCCACATTGCTGCAGAGAGTGTGTTTACAGATAGTTTTAAGTCTTGGAAGTTATTGATTTTTGGGGGCTTTCACAACATTTCCATGCTGGTTAGACCAGTTTTCGCTATCCCTGACTTGCCTTTCCTTCAGCTGTTCCTCTCTCAGCTTAGGGCATCACACAGGTCCCCACTGCAAAGGTCCTTTCCCTCCAGCTGCAGGTATTTCACAAGTCAGTTGTTCGCTATCCAATAAGCTCAAGTTTAAGCAAGGCCAAATGCACTTACTTATCTTTATTACAGATGTGCTAGGCTTTTTTAAACAGAAATTATATGATAGAAGATTTATTTAATATTAGCTTTACTGCCAGCATARTAAGGGTTATTTATCTTTGCTTACCATAACACAGACTGGATAGCATGATATCCAGATACTACTGTAGGGAAGTCTCTACATAACTGTCATATATCAAGTGACAATGACATGCCCCTAATCCCTTATTTTATGTAACAGTAAAACCTTCTTTAGCATCCAGATGGATKATTTTATACAAATATGGTTGTGCAACGCACTTTAGTCAAAATTACGTCAGTATATTATGTTGATTATACTGCTACAACTTGAAACCCTGCACTCTTTAAAGAAAAAACAACTCCAGCAACCCACCTAAACATTCACATTTAATAAAACTGTTATTTTTTTAAAGCAAGAATAATAAGTTTGGTAAGACTTAACCTTCTGGATATGAATATAAATATTATAAAATTAATTTTATGACATATAAGTTGATTAAGTTTACATTTTATTTGCCTGTATTTCTGCCAGGCAGCAGCTCAGCATGATTAACACTGATGCACAAGCTGAGCATACCTGGATTCCTGTACAGAATCGTGGATGGCTCACAAAGGCAAAAGGACACAGTTTTAGTTTCTTTTATCCTTCCTGGGCTTAGTTTATTATCCAAACAATGCCAGATCATTATTACTCTATAGAAAAGATGGTCTCAGTCAATAGCAGAATGGATACCAACAGAATGGTCAACAGTATGGTCAACAGATGGTCTCCAGAACGATTCGGCCTCTTTGGTGCCTCGTTATTGAGGAAGCATGCTGCCTTTTACAAAATCATGGTTGTAATTCTCACATCTGCTACCCAGTTAATTTGTTTGAGATCTGCTTTCCACCAGGTATTAGAGAACCAGATCAACCAAAGCAAAGACAGGATCCTTGCCAGCCCTTGGCCACAGTGGGGAATTTGTGCTTGCAGGTAAGAGAGCGAGCAGTGAATGTGAGGAATAGAGAATGGGAAGTGCCACAAAAACCCGTGGCAGAGAAAACGGGTTCAGAGTCAGTGCAGAGGGAACCAGGGCCAAGTCCTCAGGTGATGGGCAGGGGGAATTTGCATTTGGGCATCGACGATCATTCATGGATTTGGTGGCCTTACTAGCTCTTGGATGCAGTCTTGAGTGTTAGAATTTCTAGAGACTGCTGTTACAAGTCTGAATATTGCTTCAAATACTCATTAGGCTGGAGAATACTTAGCAAAGCACCATGTGGTATGTTGGAAAACGTTTTGCAAGAAGGAAGTAGGATACAGAACCACAAAATCCAGTCCTGTGTTTGTGCAGGTCAAACATTTGTTCCCCTGATGAAGCGTAGCTTTGTGGTTTTCCTTTTAGCTTTCAAATATCTTCAAGGAAACAGACTTCCCTCTTTTTAGTAGAAACGCTCTTGGCTTTGCGTTTTCCAGTGCCTATAGACTTACTTATTTTGCCAGTATGGCAGAAAAATTTGGTATAGTTGCAAATTGTATTAGGGAAATGAGGCATAGCCACTAAGTTTAAGACAAGCAACGATCAGCCCAGCCCAGGTGAATTCGTGTTCCCTGTTACCTTAAGTTCAGAACTAGTTTGGATGGACTGTTTTGAAACTAGGTCGAACTGTGTACATACAAGTATCCATTGATAATAGGTAGCACTGTTACTTTCATTACATAAACAGAGTGGAACACTGTCAATATTTGCGCAAAAATGATATTAAACATGACATCACATAGAGGAAGCATTTCATGACAGGTACGGACTTTATCCCAACTTTGTGTGCGTGTGTGTATATTTGTTACTGGTTACAAAAAACTGTAAATTTTCAAGCCTTCTTATAATAGCTTAAGAGTTGGACTGTTTGATAAGGAAATCTCCAGGGCTACAAGGGGTCAAAGCCATCTCTCACATCCCAGAAAACCAACCTAAGTGCCTGGCTACAGATTAGCCAGGGGGTAAACGGTCCCGTGCTTCCGGCTGATGCTGTGCCAGCTACACGGGACTGCAAAGCAGCAGCTCTGTGGCATCCGCTAAGGGATCCTGTTCTCTTTCATAGAGAACAGGCTGCTGTTCATTAACTCGGGTGGGTTGTAGTTGGCATTGATTCCTGTCTTCCTGGAAGACCTTGAAGYAGGTGTGGGACGATCAGAAGGAACAAAACACAGAGACTCTAACACCTGCACCCAAGTCTCACGTCTCTTATCACCATCTACCCGCCACCTTCCCCCCAAACTCCATCTCAGGGTCTCCCTCCTCTCCAGGCGATCGATGCAGCATCTGTTTCAGGAACAGTCAAGCAGTTCAATAACAGTGGCACCCATTTATCCAGCCACCTCCCTTATTTCCTTCACTCTCTCTGAAGTTCTCTCATTTTCCATCTGGCTTGCAGAGCCATGATGATATTTACATTTACACAGCCAGTGTAATATATTTACAGTTATTTGCAGTCAGTAAGCTGTTAATATGTCTCACAAAGTAACCCTTCTTCTAGAGGGCTAGAGCTTCCTTTTCCTTTGCTCTCCTACTCTCCTTTGCTCTCCTACTCTCCTTTGCAGTGTCCTGTTGAGTTCAGGTACTGGCCATCCAAAACCAGGACAGTTACTCTGAGTATTTCACGTGTTTCATGAGGCACATGAGAAATATTTGAGTCCTCAGGAACTGTTACCAAGCAATAAAGGCAGCAAACTCATCTAAAACCAGCAGCAGGAATGGCCGTAACATCAAAGCTTTATCTAGAAAAAAAATTTGCACAATTTGTGTATGAAAAAAATGCAGATTTTTTAAATTCTGTAACAACAGTAATTAAAGTCCTGAGCCACCTGATTTGACTTTGGAGGTAGCCTTGTTTTAACCTTGTGGTTTGACTAGAAGGGCTCTGAGAGCCCTTACCAGGCTAGATCATTCTAGGATTTTATATACTCTTCAGACRTTGCCAACCTTAGCTGCAAGTGGAGTTTCTTCAATGAGCCCTTAGATCCACTGAAGATCTAATCCATGATCTGAAACAATTTCTCTTCATAAAGATTTACTGTAAGGTTCAGCTAGATCCAGTATCTTAAATTGTAAATCCTGGGTGAGGACTGTGTAAAAAAAAATCTATAAAGTTCTTAAGAGCTTCAGAATTAGATAATGAGATAAATGAGGCTATAATTCTTTTCCTTCATTTTTTTTTCTTCTGCCTATCCCCTGACTTAAACTCCTGGTTCTCTAGAAAGACTCATGCAGTTTAACAATGAGTTGTTAATCTCTGAATTTTRACTTGAGTTTGCAATGAAACCCAAAATAATACTTTGTTGCTTTCAAATTTTCAGCAGACAATTTGCAGAGCTCAAACTTATTAGGTGAGTCTTACTACCTTAGTGAAGTATAGGAGATCAGAAAGAGTGTAATGCACTCACTTTCTCCTGAATTTGCATGTGACATCTATCAGGACAAAAATACTCAGAGAAATAGTTGGTGGAACTGAAGACAGCTCAGCATCCTAATTCCAAACTCTTCTACATCCTCAAAGTTAAATAATGCATGACTAATATTTGAAAAATAGTGGTAAATGTGTGTGAAGCTACAGTCTATTAAAGCTGTAGCTTCACAGTAATTTTTAAGGACTGGAGACATGACCAAAAAAAAATTAAAAGGGAAAACTATCCACACACTACACAGTCCTCAAAAGTAGCTTTTGGCTAAATATGACTATGACTCAAGATTGGGTTATTTTACATTAATGATAGTAGAAGAAATGCTTTCCTGGAGGTATCTCTGTTATCTGTTTGTAGAATGAGGAAGCTGTAAAAAGCTGGGTAACAAATCAAGCATATCTTCACGTGTCGGGGAAGAAAGAGCAGTGCGGGCATGTGTTTGGTATTGACTTACCAAGGGTCAGGTTGGCCTACGGAGCTACGCCCCTTTAGCTCCTCTGCCTATAAATTCCAATGGGCTCTTCCATTAGGAGCTCCGTCGAGATGGGTCCCACTGTGGTCTTCTCTTGGATGGTAATGATGTGTCTTGGAATACAGATGGATACAGGTAGAGTCTTGCTTCTGATCAACTTCACAAATATATCTCACATTCAGGATAATACTGAGTTTTGAAAGAGGATTAAACTTGCCATGCACAGGTTAGCTCTGTTGAAAACTAAACCGATCTAACCTATGAGCTGAGGAAATAAATAATTTTGTTTATGATTTAAATGATTTATTTGGTTGCATTTAGACTATTATTGTCATCCATTTTTTGTTAGAGAGGCTAGTAAACTCAAAATATATATACTGTAAAAAACAGTGATAAGATTTTTCCAAGTCTTTGTATTGTGGTAGAAAACTTAAAGGTAAGTGTTTTCGTCAAGAAATGCACATTTATTTTAGTGTGTCAAATGCTCTCTGAACCACACACATTATATTTGATTAGTTAATTCTATTGAATAACATGGTGGTGGCGTTCGATGAGAGAGTGAGTGCTCAAGATAAAAGCAAGTATGACATGTTTTTGTGCCTATTATTAATGGTAACTATTAGAATACAATAGAATTACTCTAATTTTATATTATTCTAATTTCTATTACAAATCTAAATTGAATTGGCTACTGAGGCAGTGAACTGCACAGATGCTTTTACTCCTTTGAGGATTAATAAAATACCAGTGGGTTTGATGGAAGGGAGGATGCTTCTCATGAAAACTTGAAATAAGCTTCCTGAATCCAAAAAGACTCTTCCCTCTTAGGGGGAAGTTTCCCTGTGTCGGCAGAGTGCCATGATGGTACTGTGAGAAACAAAGCATTTATTTTTAAGTGACTGCTCTTGTCTTCTATTTGCTGGAGGGCAGAACAAAAAAAAAGATCAAAAGAGTTTATGATAGTTGCTGTCTTTCCATTCCTTTGTCTTTTAGCTGTGAAGTTCTGTCATTCAGTTAACTTGGACTAATGAACTGGGAGAAAAACAACACTTCCCCTTTCTTTAGTCCCACACATGCTCTAACATACAATAGAACCTTGCTAGAAGGAAACAGCAATTTAGCGCGGCTTCCAAATTTGGATTTTTTAATGCTCTTGTTATCTGCTCCCTACATAAATATTTGAGGTGAGGTTGAATATTGAAAATTGAGCTGCAGTATTGATATTGCACTGAAAGACACTGAGTTGCTGTTTAATCCTTATATTGCTATCAAATCCATTTATAGCAAATGCCTCGCATATATGAGGCACAATTTGGGAAGGGTCAGCCTAAATTAGAATTCTCCACTCACTGAATAAATGGTGCATCTCACCCATAGGGTCTTCCTTTACATCTTCAAATGGACAAACTTGTCATCCACTACATCAGTTAGTGATAGAATATTCCCGACGGTCAGGTTGTCCACAGTGTGCTTTCTATATCTAGAGGTAGCTGGACCTAATCTAGAGACATTCATCTCTAAAATTTTCTGTCTATTCATTATCATAATTCATGCAATGTATTTGTAAGGACTAAGTTTCTTTTTTTTTTTTTTTTTTTTTTTTTTTTTTTTTCATGTAATGATATCTGCAGTTTGGGCATATACAACATACAGTTATGAGGATTCTCCAAAAACAGGTAACATAAAAATTCTATTAAAAATGTACATTGTTTGAGTTAATCATGATAAATATTCACTCCAGACTCATGGTAATATCAGTTACAGGATCCTTTCTGCTATGCAGCCCTTTCTGGGGTTCTGAGCCCTTTCTGATTTACTTGGCTCTTAGAGTAGTGTCTGCAGAAACCTGGTGATGTTCACATAGAGCAAGGCAGATCTGCTAGTCCACTGCTTGGCACTTTGCTAAGGAGTGGCACGTGAGTTAGCAGATTTTATCACCCCTTGAGTTTTCTATATACCTGCTTTGAGAGACCCTGTATCCGCCACAGGGGATTAATCCTCCATTAAACCTCTTGGATGTATTTTACTGACTTGCTTTAATTGCTTTTCTTGCTTCCTGACACTTCTTTCCTCCCAGCTCTTCCTCTACCTAAAAACCACTTCCTTTCCTGGTAGCTCTTGTGTCAGGCTAGAGCGGCCCCAGTCTCACTTGGGAAATCTCTTTCCTTATGTCTTTGGGCTATGTTGATGTTTGAAATATCACAAAGGAAAAAATGGGATTTCACTGGCTGCATCTCATTTTCTCTGGACTGGGTAAATACATCTCAACCCTCAACAACCATTGATAGCACAACTGTTAAAATTGACTTTTTAGGCTTTTGTCATCTCGTTTGATGTGCAAGGTGTACGAGTGTAGGAAAGGTCGCTTTTGATTTTTACCCTCGTAGCTTCTGCTGGAAAATCTTGCAGGTGAGATTATGATAGTCTGACAGAGGGGAAACCTGCTGGGATCTGCTAAAGCAGAAAGAGACCTCTTAACTTCACAATTGATCATCTTGGGCTCTATAGACTTTCTTTTTCATATTCTGGAATACAGTTTACTGCTTATTCTCTTGATCACTGATGGTCGTTTATTGCAAGCGTAGCAAGAGCCACGTGAAGGTTAACAACGTGTATTAGGACGTTGCTTGCACTCAATGGCCTCCTTTATGTTTCTGTGCTGTGTTCGATTTGGGGATTTCACATTGTAAAAATGGGATTTCACTGGATGGGTCTAATTTTTTTCTAGATTGGGCAACTCCACCTCAACTCTTAAGAACAACTGATATCACAATGGGTAAGATTGATTTATTAGGGATATTTTTTGATCTGATTTCACATGCAAGGCCTATCAAGAATTTTAATGGTCTCTTGATTTTTATCTTTGTACCTACTGCTGGAAAACCATGCATATGAGGTTATGAGACCCGCAGAGAGGAGAAGCCTGCTGGTGTGTGCTAATGCAGAAAGAGACCTCTTGACTCAAGTCTGTCTCTGCCACAGACTGCCAGACTTTAGGGCTGGGGGAGTCACATGTGGGACTTTCAGATTATTTTGTCCAATGTTGCTCTGTTGAAGCAGGTTGCCAGGGCGATCTTAGTTGTTGAGTGACCCTGGAGCTCCTCCAGGGGGGCTGTGACTCCCACTAGGGAATTCCTCTTAGGGAGGAGGCTCCTCTTCCCCTGCATTGCCACGTAGAAGAGCCAGGTACGTGAGCTCTGGGATGTTGAGATGCCGGGACAGGCCCTGAGGAGCAACCTCCGGGGAGCCGGCACACACCCAGGAGGGCCTTTTTGTGAGGGAGCATGTCCAYGSCTCTTTGCGGGACTCCTGCTCTCCTCCARGGAGCTGTGCTGGGTTGGWTTCAGGCTGTCTCTGCCACTTCTCACTTTTGCTGCGCTCTGTAGGTACTTTCCCCTGTGGTGGCTTCCTCTTGGCTTCGTCTGGCTCCTTTCAAAGCCCCAACTATCCCAACACCTACCCCAACAACGCAAACTGCGTGTGGAGAATCCAGCTGCAGGAGGCGAACTACAGAGTGCACCTGACCTTTGTGGATGTAGAGTAAGTGAGGCCKGGGCCTGTGGTGCCAGCCCRGCACCTGYGTGCCCTGGTGCTTGGCCGTCTCTGCSTGGAGCCTGTGCCTGCTCCAAGGGCTCCTCTCCTGCTCTCAGGCSCCCTGGAAACAGGCGAGCCCGAGAGCTGAGGAATGTTGTTTCCGCTCCGCAGGCTGGAAGGCACCACCTGCCAGTACGACGCCATCGAGGTGTACGACGGCAGGCTGTACGGGGCCCCTCTCCTAGGGAAAGTTTGCAGTAACAACCACCGCGTGTTTGTGTCATCTGGAAATGAGCTGACCGTCCTGTTTCGCAGTGACGGCAGTGTCACGCGCAGAGGCTTTCAGGCCTCCTACTATTCAGTTCCCAACTACATCACCACTCCAGGTGAGACGAGTGRGGTCTTCTAGTGCTTGCCAGGAGGCAAATGGAGRACTGCCCCCTACCAGGGTGTCCAGCAGCTGGTGTATCGCTTCCAGCATCTTGYCTCTGCCCAGAGCTACCAGWCTTCTGGGGTGGGGAGATGCCCAGAATGGCTCTGAGGAGCAGCAGCGCATGAAGTAGGAGCATGCTTGGGAGGTTCTGTTTGTGTGGAAGCATTGCGGTACCTTCATGCTAGGCTCGGGCTCTTTTCTAAAGATGTGTGCCAAGGTGTGTGTTGATGGTGGGAGGAACAATATTTTGGTGGAAGTGCCCTTCCGACATGCCCACTGCCTCCCCTTTTCCCTCAGCATGTGCCAGTCACCTTGCTGGTGTCTGTCTGGAGTGAACCGAAGTAATGGGAAGGTGACTCTCCTAGTCCACTGCTTGGCACTTTGCTAAGGAGTGCCACTTGATTTAGCAGGTTTAATCACCCCTTGAGTTTTCCATATACCTGCTTTGAGGGAGCCTGTATCCCCCGCAGCGGATTAAACCTCCATTAAATCTCTTGGCTTCTTTTTACTGGCTTAATTCAATTGCTTTTCTTTCCTGCCTGACTCTTCTTTCTCTTCAACTTCTTCCTCCGCCTAAGAACTCTCGTCCGCTTCCGTTCCTGGTATCTCTTGTCCTGGTGACAGGCCAGAGCGGCCCCGGTCTCACTTGGGAAATCTCTTTCCTTATGTCTTTGGGCTATGTTGATGTTTGAAAACTGAAATATCACAAAGGGAAAAATGGGATTTCACTGGCTGCATCTCATTTTCTCTGGACTGGGTAAATACACCTCAACCCTCAACAGCCATTGATACCACAACTGTTAAGATTGACTTTTTAGGTTTTTGCCATCTCGTTTGATGTGCAAGGTGTAACGAGTGTAGGAAAGGTCGCTTTATATTTTTACCCT